TGGTGCATACTGCACTGCTGTAGTACCTGGTACTGGTGTACGTTGTCCTTCGATAATTTTTTTTTTTTTGTGGGAATATATAGACTATGTGTTTGTTATTCGCCCCCCGTCTTGCTGCACCCCCTGGGGTGTGGTGCAGGGCGGGGGATGCCTGGTCGGCGGGAACCCGGCACGGAACCCTCCGGCGTTGTAGGCGGGTGTGGGAAGCGTTCCCCGTTCTCCTTTTATTTTATTTTGATCGGTCTCCTCGACGCTCTTTCTCGTTTGGTGCGGTAGCTGGTCTTTCTTTCTATCATTTTGTTTCTCTTCCGAGTGGTTTCTGTACCCTATTTTTTTTCTGTTTCTTCGTGGGGTCGTGTATGCCGGGTTTTGAGACCACGGGCTCCCAATCTTTCTTTTTTAGAGCTAATGTGAGAAACAACAACAACAACAAACAAACCTCTACCTCCAGTACCAGTAGAATATCTTGTAATTTGTCGACGCCAACAAGGACACAGGCTTCCCTCGTTGGGGGGAGGCCCGGGTCGCAGTCAGTAGTCTTACCCACTACTTAGGGCTGGCAGTTCTCTTCGTTGAGATTTAGAGAGGAGAGGGTCTCAGAAGAGAGAGACAAGAGAGAGAGAGAGAGAGAGAGCTGCAGAAGGGGCGAGGGAGACCAAGCCCGAGGGCCTCGGATTCCCAAGCTCCACAGGTGGCGCCAAGAGGGACGCATCCATAGTCGGGTCTCGTGCTGGTCAACCATCAGTAAGATCCTGCGTTCGGATCGTATCTTGGTCCTACTTTTGTATGTGCAACAACAATGGTTAGTCTACAGCACCTATCTCGGCGAGTGCAGAGGTACAAGCTCGCATTGCGCGGGCGTCAAGANGTGCTGGTCAACCATCAGTAAGATCCTGCGTTCGGATCGTATCTTGGTCCTACTTTTGTATGTGCAACAACAATGGTTANGAGTAGATGTGACAGATTTGCGTAGAATAGGGTAAGATGTTATCATGAACGGAGATGAAAGGGCTTTTCCAACACGGAGATGTAGCATGGATCAAAGCATTTGTTGGATTTCAGCTTTTACAAGAGGACATCAACGCAGTAGTATTTTAGCAAGCTTACGAACGCATGTAGGATACCATGAGGATTGTCATTGGTTTTATTTCAAGTTGAGGAGATATTTTTACGATGTAAGTGACAGTAGAAATAAGTCCTACATTCATTCATTCGTTGTTGTACGTATTGGCTTAATATTCATGTAGAGTATGAGACATTATGTGAAAGTTTTCTGATGTACATCTGCAATTTTATTTTTGAGTTTTTTTACCTTCCGACAATTAATTGCAGATGTACCTCAGAAAACTTTCACTTAATGTCTCATCTACATGAATATTAAACCAATACGAAGTACAACAACATATGTAGGACTTTTAACTGTCACTTACATCGTAAAAATATCTCCTCTTCAACTTGAAATAAAACCAATGACAATCCTCATGGTATCCTATATGCGTTCGTAAGCTTGCTAAAATACTACTGCGTTGATGTCCTCTTGTAAAAGCTGAAATCAAACAAATGCTTTGATCCATGCTACATCTCCGTGTTGGAAAAGCCCTTTCTTCTCCGTTCATGATGATAACATCTTACCCTATTCTACGCAAATCTGTCACATCTACTCTCAAACAAGACGCCAACTTCAAACAAAAACGCGTTCTACGATGCGTCTACACTCCATCCCCATATCATTGGCGTTGACTGGTTCGAGGTCGATCTTGTTCGCCTGTTTTCGGCGTCTTGACGCCCGCGCAATGCGAGCTTGTACCTCTGCACTCGCCGAGATATGGCCACCTGTGTAGCCACCTGCAATTGTCGAAAGGCAAAAAAAAAATAAGTACATAAAAAAAAATGGTTAGAGCACTTCTACATCTGTCATCCACACCAACACAAGAAAGATTAATTAATGCAATTTTTTGTGTTGCACCAATTTCGTCCACACGTCTTCCTTTCTTCCCCTCGCTGCCTCGTCAAGGTTTTGCGTAGGCATGAACCATAGCGAGGGGGGGGGGGGGGGGGGG